GCGCCAGGACGATCGGCAGGCCCGCGCGGCCCGCCGAGCAGTCCATCTCGACGTGAAGCTTCCCCGTGACGCGCGGGTGTGACTTCATTGACTGATGGAGTGACTTCCGCCTGATGGCACAGGATCTGTACAGCTCTGAATGTCGTGATGCTCTATTTGCCTGACATGTCCCATGCGAGGGAGTTGGCTCGTCATTGAGCCGTCGCTGAGAATCACTGGGCGTTTGAATGTCCAGCATTCATCCTCGTCGAGCACCCTAGGGAGCATACTCTAGAAACACAGAGACGTGAAGCATTGCTGATCTAAAAGTTACGGGGCCTCGTGAATCTCCGTGAGAACGCTATTCGTTGTGTCTGAGCAAGTCGGATTGCCAAACGCCTGATTCACTCAGCAGCGAAAACCAGCGAATTGGATAACAGGCTTTTTAGGTAAATCAGATAGGGTGCAAACTGCTCTCCTTGCAAAGTTGAGTCTCGACGAGGTGGTGGGTGGATCCCTCCCCTTCGAACTTGGTTGGATTTCGTTGGCTTCGAAACGAGACAAGTGCCTTGGACTTGGTTGGTTCCCTCTCTTCGAAGCTCGAGCGCGAACATTCGAAGGGAACGCGGTGATTGGAGAGGCTGAAATCATCCTAGACAGCATCCACCACGACATCGACTGTTTACAAATGCTGGTACGGTAGGCGGGAGCGACAGATCGACCGCTCATAGATGGCGAATAACCTTGTGGTGTCATTCGTCTGTCCGATTCAGGAGCGGATTTTACGGAGGAACATCCACCTCCCCAAGCGCGCTATAATTGAAGAATTATAGTGTGGTAGCTGAGACAAGGGAATCCGACGGCTTACCGAGTTCACCGGAATTTGTCACCCCGACAACATTCCTCGCATACATGCCTACCCGTTTCTAACAAAATGGTACGACCTGCAGTTCAAAAATGTATTTTTTTAGCTAACCTAGATTCTTCACTTCACCACATCCACATCGAAATTGCCAACCAGCACGAAAACATATGAAAGCTGATTTGTTGACATATATCCCATCCCAAATTGATACTTCTCACATAAACATGGTTTCACTCACTCCATACAGCACCACCGAGCAATCCTTCAACATACGCTGCTTCCCAACCCAAGTACTTCTATGAACTGGTAAATTTGGATGTTTATTCATTCACTGGCTTTTTCCGTAACTAAGATGTCTGCTGAATCTTAAACCTTTTTCTTCTCTCAACATACTGTGAAGAAGCCTGAGCTCTTTCTGACACATGAAAGAACAGGAAATACTAATGAGTACGACACTCCCGTTTTGTACATGTACGTATACCCACAGATACGCACTAGCAAATCAGATCTTATGCCCAGCAACTTAGAGTGAGAGAAAGGGGGGAAAGCAACTAGATTATCGCGATTGGGCACATACTGCACACTTCAACCTGCCCACCATTGCCCAGGCTGACTGATCGTGGATAGTGGATTCACATGGCTTCAACAGGCCATCATTGCCCAACTATGCCTCAGTAAGACATACTAGGTACTAGGCATTGTGATTCATGCGCCTTGAAATTCCGATCCTTCCAGAAATACGGTAGTAGGGGCGAGTGAGGTGAGTGCGAGTCAGCGTGATTCATGGGCCTTAAAATTCGGATCCTTCTGGAAATGGTAGAGCGAGTGAGGTGAGTGCGAGTCAGCGAGTGAGGGAGCCATGGATGACTGAATGCGAGTGAGTGAGTGAGTGAGTGAGTGAGTGAGTGGGTGAGTGAGTGAGTGAATGCAAGCTTAGGAGACGGTACGGCCATAGCTGACAGATGCAATGTACAAATTCTTGGCCCATTTCTCCTGCACATAAGATAAACACATGCCACCACATACCATACAGTGCACAACACCAGGCATACCATGCCAGCCAGAAAAGTGTGTGAACAGAAAAAAAAGAAAAAAGAAGAAGAAGAACTTTTGCAAGAATCTTTCAGAAAGATATGAGAGTGCTTCATGACAAACAAATAAAAGATCACCGGCATGTGTCTTTGCATACCTTAGCTTGACATTTCAAAACATACATTGGGCACATCGATTGACTGGCATACATTCATGCGCACTTGCCATGGTTGCAACGCCACACAAGCCCCCCTTGACATGCATGCCCCAGCACACACGGGTGCGTGCATTGCTCACCCCACCCGGAGAGTGCAAGCATTGGTCACTCCTCTCACCTTTACATGGGTACTGGGGACAAGCCGATGTTCTCAGAGTCTCCTGGGTCTCATCCGCGGGTCGTCTGCGCGGCACACTGAGAAGGAAGGCAGCCTGGTCCCACGTGGCAGAGGTGGCTGTGATGCGATACCCCATGTCCCACCGCCTGTGAATGCCCTCGCTGGGATACAGAAAGTCCAGCTCCACCACCTGCTTATAACGAGTACAGTACAGATGAGGGAGGGGGGAAATACAGGCAGAGGGGGAGGGCGGTGATGCAACAGCCCATGTGACACCACGGGAAGACAAGCCGTGGCCATGCTGTGGTGAATGCCCTTGCTGATGAATGGCTTAGACCTCTAGGCAGCAGCACGAGCACATCCATCGTGACCACATGGAAGCTTTCAGATGCTAAATTTCCGTTTAAGGGATGTGCTTGGACTTGCTGCAAACACGCGTCGGAACGCCTCACACTGGACCTGACTGCACCGCACCTGGTCAGTGAAGCCGGCATTGCGGGACATAACCACCCCCCAGCGGCTGCCAGCAGTGGCATGGACGTCACGTAGAAGCCCTCTCGCCACTTCTTGTTGATCCACTTGAATGGGAAGCTGTCGCTGACCTTGTATGACTGCTGTGTATACGGTGTGCCTGGGGGGGGGTGTAGTGGGGGGGCGGCAGTGGAAGAGACGCGGTGTCACTTGAAGGTAGAAGCCCTCGCGCCACTTGTTGTTGATCCACTTGAACGGAAAGCTGTCGCTGACCTTGTACCACTGCTGCGTGTATGGCATGCCTGGGAGGGGGTGGGAAGGAGGAAGGCGGCAAGGGAGAGAGAGGGGGCACTGTAGAGCACTGAAAGATGGAGCAAGTGGAAAAGCACCTGCAAGAATTGAACATGAAAAAGAGATTGAGAGAGCAAGTGCGGGGGAGGGGAAAAACATGCTAAAAAGAAGGTAGGGCGATCAATGAATATGCCCTTTCACCTTTCCACCTCCGCGAGCCCAGCTTTTGCCATTCCCGTTCACCTTCCGCCGTCGCGTTCTGAGGCGCCTGAAATTTGTCTTTTGCCATTGTCGTTCACTTTCACCTTCCGCCGTCGTCGTGGGCTCACCTTTGGACATGACAACGAGGGAGTTGCCGTTGCTGGCGCCCGCCACTGCTGTGATGTAGAAGTTCCTCTCCCCACTGCTCCATGATCCACTCCTGATTGAATGAGGGGCGGGGGGAGGGAGGTGAGAAGACATTTCAAAGTGACGCCTTTTGAAGCGCCACAAACGGCGCTGCCACTGCTGTGATGCAAGTTCCTCTCCCACTGCTCCATGATTTACTCCTGAGGGATGACGGAGGGGGAAGTAAGGAAAGGGGTGGGAAGCGGAGCGGCTTTATTAAGAGTACTAGGCGGGACAAGGGAATGGCTTGCAATGAAAAATGGTTTTCCTCCCAAAATGGTGCAGCAAGTCGCACCCAAACCTGGGCAGCAGGATTGGGCAGGAAGACCCACCCACCTCGCCTTGGGAAACGCACTCACCTTGGCCAGAGACAAAGCACTTACCTTGGGCAGGAACACGTGCGAGAGGTCGTAGACCTGCGCTGTGAAGTTGGTGCCCGCGTCCATGATGAGCGCCCAGAGGTTCTGACACGACGCCACGCTGCTGATGTGCAGCCCGTCCTCGTTGCCCTTCTCCACGTGCTGTGCCAGGCGCGAGTCCGCTACATTGTAGTGGTACCTGCGTTACAGGCACACAGGACATACAGCGCACGGGGAAGTGTGACGTTGCGCATGAGGTGAGCATCAAATTACTGCTCATGTGCAACCCATCCTCCTTGCCCCTCTCCACGTGCTGCGCTAGACGCAAGTCCGCCACATTGTAATGGTACCTGACAACGTCGCCCAGGCGAGCATACAGATGGTATGAGAGAGGGGGAGTGAGAGGTTGTGGCATGAAGAGGCCTCGATTGCTGCTAATGTGCAGCACGTGTCACTACCTGTGCCACACCGCACCTCTCTTTGACACTACCTGTGCCACACCGCACCTCTCTTTGACACTACCTGTGCCACACCGCACCTCTCTTTGACACTACCTGTGCCACACCGCACCTCTCTTTGACACTACCTGTGCCACACCGCACCTCTCCTTAACACTACCTTGTGCCCCGGTACCTTACCCAGGAACCCAATCACCCACTTCTCTCTCTCCAACGCCACTGGAACCACACCTTTGCTTCATGGGCCGTCTCGCACTGTACACCGAAATCCACTGGGTGGCCGGCATGCCGAGGCGAATCTTCTTCCTCAGCTGATCCTCCTCCTGTGTGCCACGTGCGTACACCCTCCCTCTCTCTCACCCCCCCTACCTCTGCTTCATAGGCCGTCTGGCGCTGTAAACAGAGATCCACTGGGTGGCCGGCATGCCGAGGCGGATCTTCTTCCTCAGCTGATCCTCCTCCTGTGTGCCACGTGCGTACACCCTCCTTCTCTCTCACCCCCCCTACCTCTGCTTCATAGGCCGTCTGGCGCTGTAAACAGAGATCCACTGGGTGGCCGGCATGCCGAGGCGGATCTTCTTCCTCAGCTGATCCTCCTCCGCCTCCTCCTCGCCCCCCTCGCCCCGCCCCCTCTTCTGCCCCACCTGCACCTGCCACCACCGCACACGGATGTGCGCATGGGGGTCAATATGGTGATGAATGCATGGGGATGTGCGTATGGTATGGGGGCAAATATGGCGATGCATACACACGGGGATGCGCGCATGGAATGTGCGCATGGGAATGTGCGCATGGGGATGTGCGCATGGGGATGTGCGCATGGGGATGTGCGCATGGGGATGTGCGCATGGGGATGTGCGCATGGGGATGTGCGCATGGGAATGTGCGCATAGGAATGTGCGCATGGGGATGCGCGCATGGGGATAACACACAAACATATACAGATACGGATAACACAGCTCTGCATTTCTCCGTGTTGACGGGTTAAAAAACCACACACCGCACCACACCGCACTACACCCCAGTGCAGGACCGCCGTCACCCACCTTGAGAGAGCGTGCTCCCTCTGTGTTGAGAGGCAGTAGTGCTGGGTTGGGGGAGAGGATGGGGTCGAACATGGCGGCGCACTTGGCGTAGTCGGGGCGCTCATCGAACTTGAGGCTGACGACGTACTCGAGGAAGAGCTTGAAGGGCGGCGGACAGAAGCAGCAGAGCATCTCGGGCGACGTGCTCATCTTCTTCTTGCACACTAAGAAACCCTTGTTGTCGCCCTGATGGGAGATGGGTGAGGAGAAGGGCGAGAGGCGGAGAGGGTGAGAGAGGGAGAGAGCAAACGGAACAGGAGCAGAGGGGCAATTCCGGTGAGGTGGTCACCTTCTACCTCTGCCACCTGAGAATTCACCTGACACATGCCACCCGAGAATTCACCTGACACATGCCACCCGAGAATTCACCTGACAGCCATGCCACCTGAGAATTCACCTGACAGCTATGCCATCAGAAATTCACCTGAAACCCCTGCCACCTGAAAACTCACCTGGTAGCCCTGCCAGGGCAGTCTTCCTCGCAGCAGGAAGACGAGTGTGTATGCCAGTGACTCTAAGTCATCCCTGCGACTGCCCGTGCGCCCCAGGTGTGCGTGGACGCCTGCATAGCGCACCGTGCCCCTGTGAAAGAGGAAGAAGAAGCACAAGCACAGGGTGCGGGTGAGGGGACAGCAGGAAGGCGAGTGTGCATGCCAGTGATTCCAGCTCGTCCCTGCGACTGCCCGTGCGCCCTGCACCCCCGCATAGTGCACCGTGCCCCTGTGGAGGAAGGGGGAGCAAGGAACTGTGTTCATTGTGGTGCATGCATGCATGGGGTTTCAGCGCCTCTACGCCCCATATGCGTGTGCAACCCACGTAGCGCAGGTGGCTGTTGCGGACTTTGACTATACACCAAGGAACAATGTCCGGCTACCTGGCCTGGCCCACCTGACCATCTCTGGCGATTCACCTGAGAACGTCTGACAATGCACTGGCAATCCGCCTTAAACGGCCTGGCAAATCACCTGAAGAGGTCCTTTCACCTGAAGATGTCTGGTCGTTGGTCATACTCCACGTGCTGCCCCGTGTTGCTGTCCCTCCACCTCGTTGCTGCGCCATGCACGGACGGTGGGAGCAGGAGAGAAGAAGGGGTGGGGAAGGAGAACAATTGGAGAAGAGAGAGAAGGCAGGGTGCGGAAAGTTTTATTTTAGAATTCTTTACAGAATCGAACTCCATTGGGGTGCCCCCACATCCTGCAACCCCACTCCTTTTCTTTCTTTGTTTGAGTAAAAACAATGTCATAATGGTCAGTTAATTCACTGTCTCACCTAAACCCAGGTCAACCAGGTACAGCTTCTTTTCCTCGGAAGTCCCGGGCTGCCCGAGAAGAAAGTTCTCCGGCTTCACGTCTCCATGCACGTAGCTGGTGGAAGAAAAACGGCAGTTTGACAAAATAATGGGAGGGGGAGGGCGAAGGTGCACAGTGCAGGGCTTTCAGGCGTCTCAAAGAAGAGAGGCAGAAGACGCCCTCTCTCCGTTCTCAAGGAAGAGAGGCGAGGCAGAGAACGGAGAGAGGGCGTTGAGACGTGTGAAAGGCGCAAGGACGCGCAGAGACGGGAGAGGGAGGAGTGATGGGCCCAGAGAGGGGACGAGGGCCTGGGAGAACGAGTGACTGCATTCACCCTCGCTATTGTCACACTCACTCACCCTCGAAATTGTCACAGTCACCCTCGCTACTGTCACACTCACTCACCCTCGCAATTGTCACACTCGCCCTCAATACTGTCACACTGACTCACCCTCGCTCGTGCACCTTCTCCAATATTGAGAGGGCCTCCGCTGCTATGCACGCCACCATCTCCGTTGACATGCTGGTGGGGGGGGGAGGGGGGGAAGGAGGGCGAAAGGGGGAGAGGAAAAGGGGAAAGGGGGGAGGGGGAAGAGGATAAAGCCTCCGTTGCAACGCACGCCACCATCTCCGTTGACATGCTGGGGGGGGGGAGGGGGGGGGAGGGGTGGGAAGGAAGGGGGAGCGGGGGAGGTTGGGTTGGAAGGGGGGAGGTTGGAAGGGGGGAGGGGGGGAGTGGATGCTAAGTTGCAATATACGCTTATAGCGTATATACGCTTATCGTATATACGCTAGCGTATGCACGCTATCCGCTTGGGGGTCGACTTTGGAATACGCTTTTCCGGGCAGGGAAAAAACTTTCCCGGGCAGGGCAAAAAAAAACCACTTGTGGATGTTTGGGGGGGGGGGGGGGGGAGGGGTGAGGCATTTTGGGGGTTTTGCAACACAGTTTTTTTTTCCGCATGATAAGATTACGACACCATACACACACACATGTCACTAATACTCTCCTGCCACCCTAGTTCTAAGCGTACTCGTCCTCCAGGACGTCATCCTCGCCTTCCTCCTCCTCCACCTCCGTCTCATCCAACCCGTTGTACCCCTCGGGAATAGGAGGCTCGTCCCCAATCCCTGGCACAACGTTCGGCATTACATCTGCACGCGAGTGCCAGTTGCGCACAACATTCCAGTTGTGCGCAACAAAAACCAGGTCCTGGCACTTTGCAGATCCGAGGCGGTTCCGGCGGGCTGTGTGGACAGCATCCCAAGTTCCCCACCCACGCTCACAAGGGGATGCCGATACAGGCTGAGATAGCACCCTCACGGCGAAGCGCATCAGGTGAGGTGCATCTGTGTCGTTCCACTGCCACTTCTTCACCATGCTGTACTTACCCGCCTTCACCTTCTCCCTCTGTGCAAGAGCCTCCGGCATCCCAAAACTGCCTTTCATGTCCAAGAAAGCCCTCAGCCCGTCACCCAAGGCAAGCAAGTAATCTGGACCCTCATCCCTCCCCTTCCCGTCGTGGCCGATGAGGAACTCCACGTGCTGGTTGATTAACGCCTTGAAAACCCGGGTGCATTCGGCGTCGCTGCCAAAGATATCCTCCTCCTGGTTGGCGGGGTTGAGGATTCGGCCAGCAACGTGCATGGCGCAGGCGAGGTTGTTATCCCAACGGTCCTTGATGATGCTGCGGATCTTTTCCTTGTCCGCGCTACTCAGCTGCTGCTCATCCTCGTCCAGGATGTTGTTGACATCCTCGGTAAGCTGCAGCATTACATCGTAGAGCCGGCCCATCATCCCATTAGCATCTGCGTCAGTCTGCCGCATCGCCTTGTAGGGCAGTTGCATCAGCTTGCAGAAGAATTCTGCCGTCCGCCACCATGCGTCATCGAGGACCCGTGCAGCAAAGGCCTCGGCAGTTTCCTTCCGCGACCCCGAGGCCCACTCCTTCCACCTGTCGGAAAGCACCATCGCGTTGAGGGTGCTACGCAACCGACAAAGGCGGGACACAGCAATGTATTGTGTCCCGAACCGTGTTCCCGCTGGCTTCAGCGGCTGCAGCACCTTCCCCTCCACCAACTCCTTGGTTCTCAGATAAGCGCGCGTCCAATGATGGTTGCGAACGAACGAACTCATCTCCCCACTCCGATCCACCACCCCTTTTGCCCACCCCATCTTTCCCACGTCCTCCAGGAGGAGATCCATCACATGCGTGTCACAAGGGACCTGTTGAATGTGGGGCCACTTGGCAATCAGCTCCTGGACAGCCACGGCATAGTTCGACCCCCCATCCATACAAAACGCGACGACATTTTGTGGTCCTACCTCCACCACCACCGGCTGCAGAATCCCCGCTATGTATCCCCCCGTCTTCCGCTCCATACCGCAGTCGATCGCCTCCCTGAAGACGGCGCCGTAGTCGTTGATCAAAAGCACGTTCGCTTGCGCCCTCCCACATTTGTCCGTCATCATGTCGGACGCAATTGTTACCCCCGTCTTCTTCCAGCTCGATTTAATCCCCACCAGCCCCTGCTCAATCCCTTTGCGGACAGCGACCAGTCCAGCCCCGCCAATGAAAGTCCTCCTGGGGGGGACGTAGCCGTTGCCGGCGCGGTTGACGAGCAGCATGGCGTTGATGAACAGCGGGTGGTCCATGGTGACCTCCGGGATTTTGCAGGCCGCAAACATCAGCGCAAGGCCCTCGTGAGCATCCCGCTTAGCCGCAGAGGCATCTCCCTCCAAGTAGTCGGTTATGCGCCGCTTCCCTCCGCCAGCCTGTACTGCCGCAACAGCAGCAGATGTTGCTCGGCGCTTTTCCTCGATCGCGGCAGCCATCTTTTCGTATTTTGTGCGCATCTCGTTGCGTACGTCTTGCGGTGCCTCCTTGCAAAGCGTCACCTCGCGACGCTTCATTCCCTTCCACGGGCTCAGGTGCTGCGCGCAACGAATGGCTGCACCGGTGAAAAATTGAAGCAGTACTTACACTCGTACTGCTGTGCTTTGCCTTCTTCCCACACAATGAGGCTGAAATGTTTGAAGACAGCGTGTTCCGGCATGTCAGGAAGGTAATCCCTACCCTCAGGTCGAACAATCCGAGAACTCTGCACTGTCTGAACGGATGGCGGTGTGCATGGCGGGCTAGACATTACGAAAGAGACGGGGAACTGATGAATTGCGTAGTTGCTTGCAACCCACTAAGTAGCACAACGAGAGAAGGGAACATTGGGACATTTGGTTGGAATGAGTAGATGGGAGGGGATTCAATGCGGTAACAAACAGAGCGCACAAAGTGTGTACGTGAAAACACGACTTGACAAATTGACACAACCAATCTCGACTACGTGGGTTGAACCCACGTCCACGATTGGACAAGTCACGTATGTGCAATTCGCGTTCTGCAAAAAGCCACGTCCACAATTGGACAAGTCACGTTCGTGCAATTCGCCTTCGGCGAAATGCACGTCGTGAAATTCCGCATTTTTCCGTATGTTCGATTTTTTTTTCACCCGGGCTGCCCCAAAACAAATTTGCCGAGCGTATAGCGGATTCGCTTGCGTATAGCGTGTTGCGTGTATACGCAAGCGGATATCCGCTAAACGCAAACAGGCCTGAGCGTTTATTGCAACTTAGAGTGGATGGATGAGGTGGTGTGGTAGCACCTGCGGCAATGCACGCCCTCATCTCCGTTGTCATGCTGGGGGGGGTGAACGGACGGAATGGGGGAGGGGAGAGGGAAGGGCATAGGCATGGATAAGGCGACGACAGAATAGAAGGCTGCTGAACCATCTCCATTCACGTGCTGCTGAACCACACCACACCACACCACAGCACAGCACAGCACAGCACAGCACACCACACCACACGTGGGCACAGCAGCATAGTCAGCACTCACGCTTGGTTGTGGTTGTTCCACACGTCCCACAGGCTCGGCCCCAGCAGATCCATGACCTGCCATGCCACACACGAGCACACACACACAGAGGCAGCGGATGGAGGAGATACGAGACAATGTGCTTACGACTCCTCAATCACTGGCCTGGACCCAACAAATGGCATGACATACTGGCCACGGTTGGACACACACGCATGGGAGATAACCATGAGGAGAGACATGCCACCCATGCCCCTTTCCATGGTATTTGGCACACACCACCCCACCCCATGATGCAATGATCCTCCCATTTTCCCTTCCAATTCTTTCCCTTCCCTTCCCCCTCCCCTTTTTTTTTTTGGGAGCCTTTTGGGTGACACAAGCAGCGCAGCAGCAGTAGCCCTGAGTGCGTGCGTACCATGATGTAGTAGTCGCCCTGCCGCCCCTTGAAGTGCACTCTGGGCACGCCATGGCTGCCGCCCAACGTCCTGCACCACACAGGCACGTGAGATTGGAGAGGGGGTGGACGCGAGCGCAGAAGAAGGGCGGGAAACCGTTGTGGAGGGAGAGGAGGGGAGACGGGAGGGGAGGGGAGAGTGGGGAGGGGAGGAGGGGAGTTGCGGAAAGCAAGGGTAGAATGGGGTAAGTCAACGCGGCACAAGAAAGGGGGATAGCTTGATGACAAATAGCTCAATGTGACACGCACTATGGTGGCTTCTGTGAGGGCATGTGTTTCAGCTGGACGAGTCTTGTGACCTATACCCTCTCACACTAGATAGCAACAAGGAGGCTATATTTTATCTCATGTGTGATCGTCAGACAAACAAGTGCTGCAGTGCAGCGCACTCGTACATACAAGTTAGTGCAAGGTACTACGATCGAGTACAAGCTAGTGCTACAGGGCAGCACACGCACGTGTACACCTGCCACTCGTAGGGGGGGCCGTAGTTGCACCCCTTGCTGCTCCGATGCTCCAGCTTCAATGCCACCTGCACCCCACCACCACCACGGCCATCACGGCCACCATGCAAGTCAGAACGGCAAGCACAGCCCAGGCAAGCACGCGCATCCCTGGAAGGAACATGTTTTGACATGTTTCAGAACTCAACCACAGCAAGCAGTCATCTTCCCGCCCACGCGAACCGACAATGCAACAACGCATACACCATTCCTGCACACCCATCGCTCATCCCCCCCTCCCCGCACACCCGCCGCTCAACAAGCTCCTCTGAAATCGAGTTTTCCATACTCAGATGCCGTTTACAGTCGTCACTCACACTTCCACTGCGTTTAACCAGGAGTTTTGGATGAAAATCGGAACAAAGCCGTTCATCTCAATCGCCGCCACTCATCTCAATCGCCGCCGCTCATCTCAATCGCCGCCGCTCATCTCAATCGCCGCCGCTCATCTCAATCGTTCATCTCACCTCCACGGCGTTGGGCCCAACCCGCTCGTTGCCGCCGCTGACGCGCCTTCCCACGTACACCTGCCCGAATCCGCCCTTCCCCAGCTTCCGCTCCATCTTATAAACCGGCGACCCGCCCACTTGCACCTGCCGAGAAAAAAGGCACATCTTCAATATCCGAGGGGACATAGCACGCGACTCTACAGCTTCCGCTCCATCTTATAAACGGGCGACCCGCCCACTTGCACCTGCGGGGGAAAAGAAGTGTTACGAATTATTACACAGAGCACTGAGCGGACAATAGCGTCGACTCTAAAGAGTCCGCGCCATCTTATAAACGGGCGACCCGCCCACTTGCACCTGTCAGGAAAAGGGGTATCGTGATAACTTCTGAGGCGCTTCAAAAGTCGAAAACGGGCGCATTGAGATATACTGACGGCAGCGGCGACCCTAAAACGTCCGCTCGGTCTTATGCACCGGCGACGGGCCCACTTGTGTCGGGAAAAAGCGACCGTAAGACGCACGGTGCAGAGAGAAGCCCGCTACACTATCGTGACTCATAGTGTACCTAGAAGGATAAGTTACGAATTTGGAACACATATGGAATTGAATTTGCCGTACTCTTTCGGGCAGCGCCGTGGAGCCCGCATCCGCGTCCGCCGCTCCTGCCGCTGCCGCTGGCGCTCTGTCTCTATCCGCGCTTTTCCGCTCGCTCTCTTCCTCCATGACCGCGCTCGAAGCTCCTTCAGGACGATCGAAGTAGTGAAGCTTTGAACTCGAGTTTTAATGTTTGATGTTGTTTTTTTTAGGACGAAGCAAGTATTAGTGCGTAAGAAACGTGGCTTTAATTCGGAACAGGGGTAGGAACAACCCTAGCTCGCACAAGAACTGGTGCCCGCGGACAAGAAACTAACAAGCCGCTTAAATCAGATGCCCCAATAATTTTCCTGATTTAGCACGCCGAACCTCAAACAGACTGGATGTAGACGACTAAATAAAAGGCTGCAGAACTAGCTGATTTCAAGCGCGACGGGTTGCATGACACAATAGAGGGAGCTAACCTAAAACGTACATCTGCTTGAGCGCAGATACTTGACAAAGGAGGAGCACGGGAGGAGCTGGAGTCGAGATGGGAAGTTCAGTATGGAGCTCAAGTCGCCAGCGGTCCAGCTTACACCTGCACGGCAATCCCGAGGTAGAATTGCCGCGCGGTTTGGGCTGATGGCGCAAGTAGTGTTGGGGGGAACTGGGGGCAGCCGGGGAAAACTTTCTTGCCAGCGCCGCGTGCCGGGGTATTTTCTTTCCAAGGGGCGGGGCGGAAGGAGAGACGAGCTTGCGCGTATGCGGCGGAGCAAGGGTTTCAGAAACTGGCTGGCTACGATTGGTTAGCTGATGAGTCAGTCACGCGGCGACGTGAATTTCGAATTCTTTCCCGCGGGGCAGCTGCGGCGACAAGAGTTTGCGAAGCACGGGATTCTTCACGCCACGTGCTACGACTGGGGATTTTTGTGGGCAGGATATTTCCAAAAAGGCAGGGTGGTTAGTTGGTGGTGGTTGAGGTTCCACAACCACTGGCAAGCGTCAAGCTGGGCGGTACTGGTGTCCACCTGCAAACGAACAAAATGTCACAATGTGTACACCATCTCCAGCCTCATATGCGCTATACAATATAAACAAAACAGATAAAACAATTTGAGATTGATGCCCACTAGATGTGCAAACTCATCAATGTCACCCCAATCTTCATTCTAAGTCTCATCCTCATTTGTTTCCACTGCAACGCCATACCTGCCAGCCCTGCCACTATGACTGGTACCCTCTCCACCACTGCTGCACCTCCCCCCACTCACATCACAACGTCGACTCCCTCCAACTGCTGCCTTTCCATGCCTCCTGTCTTGGCTTCCAATCCCGTCATCATCACCGTCACCACAAGAATTATCCTCACCCGAGTCATCATTACCATTATAACCATCCCCAGAATCATCATACTCATCATATGTATCATCAGAGGCATTGCCAGCAGCAGCTGCAGCAGAACCCACGGGCGCTGCAGCACTGGTGCGGGCAGTTTTCTGCATCCAGAGAAGATTGACCAGTGCTTGTTGCTGCTGCACCTGCTGCAATAGCATCTGTTGCTGCTGCTGCTGCCACTGCTGCAGCATGTGCTGCTGCTGCTGTTGCTGCTGCTGCTGCTGCTGTAGCAAAACCTGCAACCACTGCTGCTGCTGAGACTGTTGCTGCTGATGCTGCTGCTTCTGCTGCAGCCATTGCAGCTGTTGCTGTTGCTGCTGCTGCTGCTTCTGCACCAGAAATGCTTGAAAAGCAGCCATGTTAGGAGCACCCATAGCACCACCTAAACCTCCTGAGGTCTGCTGCTGCGCTGAGTCATGGGGTGTGCTGCTGCGGTGGGTGCCCTTCTTCTCTTCCGTTTCCCTGCCTGCATCACCATGACTGCTGTCACGATCCGCGTCCTCACGATCGCTATTGTCACGGGCGCTGTTGCCGCATCCAGCATAGTCACGTTTACAATCCTCACTATCTATGTTCTGACAATCACTATCACCGGCAGTGGTTGCAGCAGCCGCTGCTGCATCGTTGGCAGCAGCAGTGGCAACAGCAGCGGTCACAGCAGCAGCTGCTGCAACGTCAGCATCTGCACCCGAGAGGGGTGTGCAACCCCCCAAACTCGGGGTTACCCCAGGATTTGGTTCAGCGGAGGGAGGGCAGGCAGGGACAGAGGCGGCAGCAACAGGAGCCGGAACAGCAGCAGGAGCCCAGACGGGGTTACCAGGCATTGGATGCTGGAAAGGACCAGGAGAAACCCCAGGTGAAAGGTCAGGTGTGGTTTGGTAAAGGGGGTAGCTCCACAACCCTGCCAAGCCTCCGACCATACCAGCTGCCGAACCTACAGGCACGGGGCCGGGAGGTACGGCAGGGGCAGGACTGGGGCTCTTGCCTGTATGGGTAGGAGGTATGGGACGCGAGAGAGGTGGGGTGCGAACAGGGCTACAGCGAGTGGGACTAGCGTGTATGGGGCTGGCATGTATGGGGCTGGCATGTATGGGGCTGGCATGTATGGGGCTGGCATGTATGGGGCTGGCGTGTATGGGGCTGGCATGTATGGGGCTGGCGTGTATGGGGCTGGCATGTATGGGGCTGGCGTGTATGGGGCTAACATGTGTGGGGCGATGGGGCGAGCTGGATGCTGCAGGCTCCTCCAGATTCTCTGCTTCGTGGCGCACTTTCTGCTGCTCCTGCCGCTTCTGCACCACATAATCGGTGTGCTGCTTGTGCTGAGTGTACTGTGAGTGCACCCGAGGGGAGCGCGACAGAGCAGGGGCGGCAACGGACGCTGCTCTGGGGCTCGCTTGCCACTCCCCCCAATGCTCCTCCCCCCTTCCCCTATCATCCCCATTATCCTCTCCCATACCCTCCCCCATACCCTCCTCCTGCCTTCTTCTCTTCCTCCTTGCCTTGTCCGCATAGCCAACTGCAGCACCAGCAGTACCATCCCTCACCCTCTCCTCATTTTCCCGCTCCTCTCCCCCCATAACCCCTCCTTCACCAATCGCAGCAGAGAACCCTTCCGTATCCGTCCGAACCACTTGCCCTGGAAATCCCCGAGCCTGCGACTCAGCCTCGACACAGGTGTGCGGCGCAGCTGGGGAGGCGCGGAAGGGAGGTTGGGAAGGGCGGAGGGGCTGGAGAGGCGCAGGGGAGAGGGGGGCGGAGGGGAAGGAGGCGGGGGGGAAGGGCGCGGGGGAGAGGGGGGCGGAGGGGAGGGGGGCGCTGGTGGCGGAGGGCTCGGGGGAGGGGGGGCGGTCTGCTTGGAAGAGTTCTTGCTGTACTATGATGAGTGAATGCAGGTCCAGCAGCTGTGCTCGCACTATGCGCTCATGCCTGGTTGTTGCAAGGCGGGGAGAAGGGAGCGGGGGACGAGAGGGAAAGGGGGAACGGAATAGGTGGGACAGAATAAGAGGCGAGAAATGGAGGGAACGAGAGGTGAGAAAACGAGGAAAAGGAAGAAAAAGACGGAAACACGCTACGCTCACCTCTGCATGCCCTGCTGCTCACCTCTGCATGCCCTGCTGCAGGCGCCAAAACTCCCGCTGGCCCACCACGGCCACCACGTCACACGCCCTCACTCCTTCACTCACTCCTCTTTTGCCCCTCGCTTCTCCCCTTGCTCCTGTCCTCTCGCAACCTTCCCCCATTGCTCCTCGATCCGCCCTCACTGCTCCGCTCACATCCCTTCCTCCTACTGCTGCGTCCCTCCCCACTCCGCTTATCCCAGCCGCTTTCCTCAACTCCTGCCTCTGCTCCTTCTCCTGCTCCTCTGCCCTCGCTTTATTCCCCCCCGCTACTCCCCCCCAACCTCCCGCCACAGTCTTTCCGCCACCCGTAACCGCAAGCATGGCAGCCGCGGCTGCTGCAGCGGCATCGGGGGGAGCCGCGGCAAAGGGGACAGGCAGAGGGGGACCCACGGCGGAAGGAAACGCAGAGGGGGCGAACGGGGAAGGGGCGCCAGGAACAGCGAAGGGGGAGGCGGAGGCGGAAGCAGGGGGGCCGGGGGAGGTGCGCGAGTGGTGGCGCCACGCCCAGAAGGCGCTCTCCGCAGCCTCATCCCGCGGAGACGAGCTTCCGGGGATCCGCACACCTCCGCCCGCCATTGCCCCCGCCATACCTTCCGCCCTCTCGTCCGCCAACCCGCCAGCTCCTCCTCCCCCGATTCCGTCCGCAATTGAGCCCGCGGCGGGGTTTGGGAATCCTGGAAATCCGCCGGAGCTTCCGGATGCGCCTGATGCATGCGGCGGGAAGGGAGTTCCGCCCATGGCGCGCGGCAGCGCGGATATCCCCCCTGCTGCGCTCGCAACGGGAGACGGGGCGGAACGGTCGGAACCGGAGGAAGGCCCGCCGACGGAGTGTGTTGCGCACGCGGCTTGGAACGCTGGAGGCGCGGCTTCGTGGAAGCTTCCAGACAAGGAGTCTCTGGTACGCGCGGGAATGGAAGCGCGGGGCCCGCTGCTGTTGCTGACGGGTGCCGACGGGCGCTTGAAGGCTGCTTGTAACGAATCAGGAGCTTGTAACGAGTTCGCGGCTTGCGAAGAACGCGGCTGCGCGGAAAAGAGCTGCTGGCTGGCGGCTTCGAAGGGCGCGTATGCGAACTTGGACACGTGGCAGGGCGGCGGCAGCACGGACGCTGCGAGCTGATTGGTGGACGGAAGGGTGCGTAAACGGCGCAACAGTCGGAACAAGAGACGGGGAGTCTCAAGCTCGTTAGAAGGAAAACTGCCAATGGCTGGCACGCATGCATGCATGCGCGGATGGATGCATGCGCGGATGGTGGGGAACGGGGCCCCGCCGCATGGGAACGAAGGAACGAAAGGCTTAACGGAAGAGCGGAAGCGGGGAGTACGGAATACGCGAAACGATAACAGCTTGACGCATAAGAAAACTCAACGGGAAAGCGGGAGGCAACAGGAAGGGGAGTGAGGGCAAGCGTACCCCGGCGGCGGGATGAGCGGGAGAGGCTGCGAAAGCTGGTCCTGAACCGCTTGACGGGAAACTGCTAGACGGAAAGCTGTTTGACGGGAAACCGTTGAAGGGGAAACCGTTTGACGGGAAACCGCTTGACGGGAAGGCGTTCGACGGGAAACCGCTTGACGGGAAGGCGTTCGACGGGAAACCCCTCAGCGGAGAAACGCTCGCTGAAAAAACGGTAGACGGAAAGCCGCTTGTCGGAAAACTGCTAGACATAGCGCAGAACGGGGAGGATGGGGGGAGAAAGCCTGCGACGCCTAGCGGGGAGGCGCCCGACGCGGCGCGGTGGCGCTTTGCGGAAGGCAGCGCCAAGGCCTCGTAGAGCGCCATTTTGTTCCGCGGGGGCGGCTTGGGCCCCGCCGCTACCGCTGCTGCCACGCTGCGCATGTCCATCCGCGGAAACAGCGCCACTGGTTCCGCTGGTTGGTCTCTCCGACTCCTGCCGCTTCGATGGCTTGAATTCCTACTCATTCTTAACTACCGTCGTTTACCTCCTAGGGACTTGATAGAATGTCAGATTTGATATTTCGCACTATGGAGGTCGACCTGTCGAATAGGATAACAAGTAACTCTCGCTCCTTTCCCACTGATAAGATGTTTAGTGGAACACGCTGCGTAGCTCGAGCTGATCTAGAAAACCGTTCGGTCATTTCGTTTACGGGCTATCTTGAAGAATTTATCTACAGCAACCGTCAAAACGAAAAAGTGGAAATGAATAAGCGACGGGGTCGTTATAGGCTTGGTCACGGTCGCTCCATCGATCGTGTCTAAGTTTCCTGACGTGCGAGAGTTAAGGTACTATGTAGAGACTGACGGGAGTAGCAGACAGACAGCGGCGAAGCGTAGAAGACGTGAAAGAAAGCGGAGGAGGCAAGAACGGAAGAGGATGCGGCTGGTTTACGGCGGCGACACGAATCATGGAAGATAAGCAAGCTGGAAGATAGATGAGGAGCAAGAAGCGAGGTGAGGAGGGAGGGAGGGAGGCTGGGGCGGGCGGAAATGAATGGACGACAGAGGCGGATGTAACTCGGTGGAATGGGCGGAAGAGGAGGAAAGAGATGGGGTGAGTTACGTTTGGATGTGGTGGGATGGGATGCGGAGGGATCAACGACGAGATGCACAAAATGGATGGATGTATTTTGGGAGGACGAGAAGCGAGGAAGGCAGAGAACGGGAATGGGAACTTCGAGAAAGTGCATCTAAAATATCTTCAAAAGTCGGAAAAAGTGCATCGAAAAATCGGGAAAACAAGCATGCCATGGATTCTTATGGTCATCAAGCAAGTGAGCGCTTGACACGTGCACACAAAATCTTTCACTCTGGTCCGGGCTGGATCCAGCGGGTCAAAATGAAGCCTTGTTCCAGCGGCGCGAACTTTGTGGTCAGAAATTCTGTAACCCTTGGTTGCTCCGGCTGGTTGGTAGCCTGGCGCAGTTGGGTGGGGTGGGGAGGGGTGGTTGCTGTGCTGTACAGTGTGGCGTTCATTCAATCCACCCATGAAGGTCGTGTTGCCAGGCAAAAAGCGTCGTGGCTGAAAACTGGCGGGATGTGTGCAGGAAAAGTACAGTACCTTTACCGAATTATCCGTATTTGTACAGAATATATATACATGCTAGTTACAAATGTTAGCTTGTCCTTGACCAGATACAAAAAACACATGTACACCAGAATGGGAGCACCACCCCGCTATACAAGCTCCCAGTTGTCACCAATGTCGGAATCATTATCTTCCCATGAATCTCCCAAAGACGAGCTGTCCATCTCAGGCACCTCCTTCACCGCATAGCTCGCCAAATCGGCCCTGTTGCCCACAGTGAGGAGTGGCGCACCTTCTGACAATCGTGCAAGCTGTTCAATCCGCTGGCACAGGTCCTCAAAGTCACCTGTGTATGAGAAGGGGATTGGCATCGGGAAGCAACGAGCGATACAGGTACGCATAAAACACAGACATGCAAAAGTGGCTTGTCAACCAAAGGTAGCGTGTCTTTGGGAGGCAACGGGAAACCCTCTAACAGATCGTTTCTGCAATAGCAAGCAGTGGGTTTCCTAGATTAAGAAACAAGCAAAAGCAGAGCTGTTACCTTGGGTTGAACAGTAAAAGCCGAGAGCCAGAGAGGAGTCCATCCCTGATAGAGGCATGCGCCGGACGGTGCTGCTGGGGGAAACAGTGCAAGGAACACGCATACATTTTCAGGCGGTAAACATAATGGCTCGTGTCAGATGGTGCTGCTCTTATGGGAAGGAAGCAGGAGAATAGAAAAGAATAGAAAATAAAAGAAAACAGAGTAAGCAAAAATGCACCTGCAATGGTAGGACGATGTGTCCACATGGTATGCACTGATTGGACCTTCAGGGAATGCAACAGCCTGCAGGGGGTAACCAAAAGAACAAGTGGTGGGTGGGCACTGGGTTAATCATAATGGATAACTACCAGAAAATGCAGGACACAAAGGTTGCATGTCACAATAAGCTGCTCTTCACCTGCTGAGAGTGATGCGGGGCCAGGAAGAGCCACATGCGCGGCTTGCCTCCCATGCCAATGTAACCTGGTAACCATGTGCTATCGTAACCTAGCAACCATGATATGTTACCTGCTGTGCGTAGTGCGGGTCCAGGAAGAGCACGTCACTCTGGTGTGTGCCGATGAAATAGAGAGACGTGTGCGGCTTGCCTCGCGGTTGCACGACATTGCTACCCTGTACTTACATGTGATGGTTACCTGGTTACAGCTTATAATTACCTGCTGTGGGTAGTGCGGGTCCAGAAACAGCACATCATTCTGGTGTGTGCCGATGAAGTAGAGCGACGTGTGCGGCTTGCCTCCCGCAATGCCCACGCTCTGGGGGAAGGTGAATGTGCGGCGCAGTGCCTCCTGGTAGCTGTGGGGTGGCAGGGGGCGAGGGATTGATGAGAAGCAACGGATGGGGTGGAAATGAGAGGAGGAAAACAGAAAAGACAAACGGTCTGGGGGAAGGCGAACGGGCGGCGCAGTAGCTTCTGGTGGCTGCAGGGTGGGAGGGTGCGAGGAGATGAGATGAGGGGAGCGATGGATTGACTGCAACCCTCAACGTGCACGGCAGCCTTTTGAGGCGCCTCAAAAGTTGCACGGCAGCCTCAACGTGGACAACAGCCTCAACGTGCACAACAACAGCCCCACCTCACCAGCCAGATTGTGCCACAGCAGTCTCACCGGGCGTCCATATGGTCGACACCGAGAACCAACGGCACCAGGATCAGCACCGCCCGCCATGCGCTCGCCTCGCCTCGTTCCTCATCTCCCCTCTCCCCTTCCCTCTCCCCGTCCCTCTCCCCCCATTGTTCCTCCAATGCTTCCCCACCTTCTGCATCCCTCCCCCCTCCCTTCCTCACCTCCCCTCCTCCCCCTCCTCCTCCCCCGCCACACAGAGCCATCACCTCGTCCACACACAGCATGGGCGCACCTCCCCCTCCCTCCCCCCCAGGGTGCGCCCCCACCACATGCACGCGCATGCCCCATAGCGGCCCCGCCTTGCCCCATAGCGACCCCTCCTTGCCCCAAAGTCTTCCTTCCTTGCTCCGTGTCAAGTCGCCAGCCTCCTCGCCGTTTTCTTGCCCCTCACCACAGTCTCTTCCCGCTCTTGGTTTTCTCACCATCCCTGCATCCCCATTCTTTTCCTCCCTTTCACTGTCCTCCCCTTCTTCTCCTCTCCCCGTCTCCACCTCACCCACACCACTCTCCCCTCCCCCCTTCTCCATCTCCCGAACCAAGCTCCCGAGCGTGACGCACAGCCGGTACGGCCCGAGCCACGCCCCAGCCTTGACGCCGAGCCTAGCGCCGCCCCGAACCAAATGGTGCAGAGAGAACGGGGAGAGTGGAGAGGGGGAGTCTGCAAAGAGGCGAACGACCTCGTGGTAGGCCTGGAGAGGGTGGGGAGGAGAGCATGTGGAGGAGAGCATGGGGAGGAGAGGATGGGGGGGAGAGGATGGGGAGGAGAGGATGCGGGGGAAGGGAGAGGAGGAGAGTTAGAGGGAGAGGAGAGGGGGAGTGGGGGAGAAAGGACGAGGGGAGCCGTATATGTGAGTAGAGGTATTAGAAGTAAGCTCGCTCTCCTGTTGGCATTGGAAAGGGAAAGTGCTTTGTAGCCTGTGGAGATCGGGCAAGTAGATCGGGCATAAATAATTGGGCGATAAAGCTGGGCTGAGTGCGAGTGTGGGAGGGGTGGGAGTGATGTGAGAGAGCAAGCATTTGGTATGCTCTTCCCCCCCTCACCTCTCAACCACCCCTCCGCTCACCTCCCCATCCCCATCACCCCTCCCATCTCCGCCTCCCCACTGCCCCCTCACCTCTCCCTCCCCAGCAGCCCTCTTAACCCGCTCCTCCCTCATGTCGCCTCCCCACTCTATCTCTCACCTCTCACCTCCCCCTCCTCTCACCTCCCCCTCCCCACCAACCCCCCCCACCTGCTCCTCCCTGCCAGCCTGTCGTCTCCACCGGCGGCCCAGGCGGTGGCACAGCAGGGCCTGCACAGCTCGGAGAAAGGAGAAAGAAGAACGATTTCTGAGAGTTTCAAAGATGGTGGAGGAGGAGGAGACAATAGCTTCTGAGTCGCTTCTGAGTCGCTTCCAAGTCGTCTCCACTGGCGGCCCAGCAGGTGGCACAGCCGGGCCTGGGAGGGAGGGTGCAGGGAAGGTAGGAAGGAACAAAACAGAGGGACAACAGCCTATAAGATGTCTCCAGGACTCACGGCTGGGCTTAGAGGGCATGAGGAAGGAAGGATGAAACCAAACTGAGGGTCAATTCAACATATGGTGGCGCGACAGGGTGTGGAGAGCACAGGCAAGGAAAAACAACATCATATTGAATCATTTCAGAGTTGCCTCAAAAGCTGGTTGCACAGCAAGGGCCTGGAGGGCACAGCAAAAGGGGAGATGGAAAATAGACAGGGAAGGGGAAATGGAGGAGGGGAAACAACAACAGCAGTATTAAGGGCAAAAAATCCGTTGCAAGACTGAGGATGCCCATCGTACCTGTGCGAGCAGCATCTGGCCTGTGCGAGCAGCATCTGGCCGGTGCGGAACATGCAGCCAAATCCTGTGTTCGCGGTAAAGACTGCGCCAGCACCACCACCAGTGGCACCATCTGTGCCAGCTCCAGAGCGAGACGTTACCTGAGCGAGCATCATCTGGCCGGTGCGGAACATGCAGCCCCACCCCGTGTCCGTGGTGAAGCCAGGACCACCACCACCACCACCAGTAGCACCACCACCAGTAGCACCACCACCACCGCCAGTAGCAGCACCAGCACCAGTAGCAGCACCACCACCGCCAGCACAGGCGCCAGCAGCAGCGGCAGCGCCACCAACACCAGCAGCAGCAGCAGCGCCATCAGCAGCAGCAGCAGTGCAGGGCAGAGGGGGGAAGCCCCAGCGGTACGTCATCCATAGCCTTGACTGCACGTCCACCACCAGGTCCTCCCACGAGCCCCCACTCCTCCCCTCCTCCCCTGCCCCCCCACTCCTCCCCTCCTCCCCTGCCCCCCCACTCCTCCCCTCCTCCCGTGCCCCCCCACTCCTCCCCTCCTCCCGTGCCCCCCCACTCCTCCCCTCCTCCCGTGCCCCCCCACTCCTCCCTTCCTCCACTACCTCACTTCTCTCTCCACTGCTCCTCTCCTCTAACCCCTCTTGTTCCCCACCTTCCTCCCTCCGACCACCCTTATCCCGCTCATTTTCCTTCTCCCTCACACCCTCTCGCCCTTCCTCCCTCGCCAAACCTCCACCTCCTTCCCGCCCTTTATCCCTCCCATCAACCCTCCCTCCGTCTCTACCCTCATCCACGTCATTCACCACATCCCCGCCTTCCCTTGCTCCACTCCCCTCACCCCTTCCCCCCTCTCTCCTCCCCTCAGCCCCCTCCCCTCTCCTCGCCTCCCCCTCCCCTCTCCTCGCCTCCCCCTCCCCTTCCCCACCCCCCTCCTGCGCCTCCTCTCGCCCCACCTCCTCGTCCTCCCACTCTGCGTATCGCACTCCCAGCACCCACACCGCCTCGCCGCACGCCAAGTCCGGTTGCCTGTGGCACGGGTGGGAAACACGGAACAAACAAGAGTCGGACAACCAAGAGAAGAAGAATGAGATCGCACGTGCGGACGAAGGATTACAGCAAAATAAGCCTCTACAAGAGCTTGCCTTCGAGAATAAATAAAAAATCAGAGTCTGCTTTCATGCCTCACCTGTTTCCCCCTCAACCCACAAACCGCCACCATGAACCTTTCCAGTCAATGGCCCCTACAACAATTCATCCCTCCCTACCTCAACCCACCTCTCCCCACCCCTCCTCACCCACCTCTACCCCTCCCCGCCTGCATCTACCACTCCCCACCTGCATCTACCCCTTCCCACCTGCATCTACCCCTCCCCACCTGCATCTACCCCGAGCATCCTTCACACGCCACCAGGAGTGCCTCAGGCAGACCAGGAGGGCTCTGGGGCAGCTGAGCACGCACGCACACAGGGGGGAGGGAGAGCACCGGGGCAACCACGGATTGCACCCTATTTGTAAGCTCCCACCACTCATGTCCTGATAATAAAATCACCCTCTTGTATGAATGATATGAACTCTCACACACACAATCCCTCATCCCATGATACTAACACACAAAATCCCCCGACTCAAATTGTTCCCCCACACCACTCCCCTCTCTTCTCCCTCTCCCACCCTCCCCCTCCTTTTTTACTGACCTGGTAAAAACGTCCTGTATCCGCCGAAGCTGCAGCGAGTGGACCAGATTAGACGCAAGCAAGGCCAGGGACGACCGAGCCTCGCCTGCAGGTTCGGAATCCATGGCGCGGGTCAACGAGCCTAGGAGATCCGTGGAGCCCAGTCCCGAGGATTCCAGCCAATCACGGAGCTCCATGGAGAAGCAGGGGGCAGAGATGGTGCGGAAGAGTCCTTCCGCTGCCGTGGATGGTGGTAAAGCAGCAGACGCGTCGGCATCAGAAAAAACGCTGTCAAAAGAAACGGCGACTGTAGCAGCAGCATCAGAGTCCTCAGGAGCCGTAGCAGCAGTGACGGCAGAAGCGTCAGAGGAAGATGCACCAACAGCGGTAGCAGCAGCGACGCGAGGAGGAAGCGGGGAACCTGAGCGGCCTGAATTGTCCATGGTGCTTTGGAACCCGCTTAACCAGGCTGCGAGGGATGGCGACGTGGACGAAACAGTAGTAACCAGCTGCTGCAACGCACTGTACGCTGTCTCCTGTTCGCTCTCTCGCCCATCCTCTCTTTCCTCCCTTCCCCCGTCCGCAACCTGCGTCACCAGATTTTCCTCCTCTCTTGACTCGGACTTCCCATCTTCGTACTCCCTATCTGGATTTCCAATTTCAACAGCGACACGAGATTCCATTCCACATAAAAGGGATTACCATGCAAAGACCGACCGACCGGCTATAGTACCGACCGGCTGAAGCACGCAAAGTGGCTGCTAGAAGAGGAATTTAAGACGGTCACGGATCACTGCCATGTATGGTAGGGGATTCAAGGTACATCCTGGCTAATCCCGAAGCCTAGTTCTGAACAAGAAACTGATCGAAGCGAGCTACGGTACTGTCCGGCTGAACCACTCGAAGGGTGACTGCTAGAAATAGAAACCTGGGGCGACCACGAACCACCGCCATGCTTCATCTCTACGCCTCTAGCTCTGGTATGAGAGTGAGTGCTGGTGATGGATATGGCAGAGACATTCGCTGCTGGAGTACGGAGGTCCCAAGAGGGAACGTACAACATTGATAACTCGACAGTTCGGATTACTGTACTGTTGCATTGATACATAAGGGCCCTACTGTTACGAGTGCAATTGAGTGAACGAACTAGAATTGCACTATCGAAGCAAGAATACAATGAGCGAAGGCATGAGCGAAGAATATATAGCGAAACTACAGTGGTAACGGTAATGGTCGCGCGACGAGCCTGGGACTGAGGTTTGGAAAGTGTCGAAGCGTAGGCCCGGAGCGCGGGTTACCAACCGAGCCGTGAGGTCGGGATGCGATGTGCGAAAATGGCGGGATGATGAATGATGTGATGGTCGCGAGTGGTAACGGTGCTGACTGAGGTGCTACAGTGATGTACGCGTTGAGCAGGGATGCGGAGTAAGGAAAAGGGAATTTCCTTACACTACCCCCCCTCCTAAGGAGGTCCTCTTTACGAAAGCGCGTGGACGTCTTTGAAGTTTCGGCTGCGCAGATAGTCGGTGACGACAGGGTGGTTTTCAACTTTGTCCAGGGGAACCCAGTTGTCCTCGGTGGGTGTACGATCTTTCCAGCGGATCAGGAACTCAACTTTTCGGGCTCCTCGAGGGTCGCGAACTCTGTGGCTCAAGATTTTGTCGGGGGTGATGACTGGTTCGGTTGGTGGTCGTGTCATGCTGGGTGGTCGATGTCGTGGGAGTTGGCTGGTGGATGGTACGTAAGGGCGAAGCAAGCTGACGTGGAACGAGGGGCTGACGTACCAGTCAGCAGGAAGGAGGAGGTGCGCGGTGACAGGTGTGATCATGTGACTGGTTCGAAATGGCCCACAGTATCGAGGCGGAGTTTGGGAGTGATGGGCAAGCGGAGGTTCTGAGTGTCGAGTAAAACAAGGTCATCGGACTGATAAGTGACGGGTCTGCGGTGGCGATCGGCGTTGCGTTTAGCGATGATATTTGATTTTTTAATTGCTTCCGTTGCCCTGGTCCGTGCTGCTTCCAAAATCTCGGCGAACTGTTGTGCGCGTGGAACGAGATTGTCGGGATTCGGTGTCATGGGTACTGTTGGGCCCTGTCCGTAGTTCAAGTAAAATGGCGACTGTTGGGTCGTGACCGATGACGCATTGTTGTATGCGAACTCGATGAGGGGCAGCTGCTGCTCCCACGTGTTTGGATCGTCGCACGTGGCTCGAATCAGCTGCTCCATAGTCTGGTTTGTCCGTTCTGTCTGTCCGTCGGTTTCGGGGTGATAGGATGAACTGAATTGAAGTCGCGTGCCGAACTGCTGCCACAGGTTCCACCAGAAATTGCTGGTAAACTTCGTGTCCCTGTCGCTGATGATCGACGCTGGTATCCCGTGCAGTCGAACGACGGTGGTGATCAGGGCTGACGCTATCAGAGTAAATAGTCTGATTAGTCTGACGGATCAGACCATCGAGTTTGTGAAAAATGGAATTCCAGAGTAGTCAAATTTTCATCACTGAGAGCCTCAGAGTTATTGTTTTATGGCCCCTGATTCAGTGTAATAGGCCTCAGTGTTAGTCATTTCTGGAGTCTGTCACTACAGAGTATGCGTTCTGTGGTCCCTGCATGCAAGTTTATCGGGAGGAAGCTTCCTCGAAATTTCCTTTCGATACACCCACCTCCGAGGTTCACTAGTGAGGGTCAAACTGGTGAGTCAAACCCGTCTTGACTGGTCACAGCACCAGCGTCATTAAAAATTCGCGTTGACAAAGCGAATTCGCGCCGTACGGAGCAACGAATTTGCCCAATCACAGCGAAATGGCCCTGACACAGCAGATTTGAGCTGTCATTGCACAAAGGTCTAGACCAATCACAGTAAAATGTATCTGACATTGCACATTCGCCCTTTCACAGAACAGATTCGCCATCAAAGTTCAGTTTCGATAATGCACAGCGCGTTACTAGACGTACCCTGATCGTGACTTCTCGACCCTAAACACTCAGACTGTATAACTTCCCAACACTGAGCAATCAGGGTGCTGCTTTTCTTGAAAATATGCCTTCAGGGTTAATTTTTTTTTTTTTTGGTGGACATCAGGGTACCTAAATTTGAAACGTCAGCCCTGGTGGTGATGAAGAGTCGGGCTGTTTCCTCGGCTGTGATTGATTTCCTGCATGCTGCGAAATGTGTTGAAAATAGGACGAGAATGGATGAACTATGAATGAAGTGAGTACAAATAGGAAACCCTAACTGGGTTGTACCCCCTATGGGATACCCCACTACAGCCTACACAATAGTATAAGCTATATATATATGTTCTGACACACCCCCATAGGCAAAGTGGGGGAGAACAAGGGGTCACAAGACCAGTCAAGCAAGACAAAGCAAAGCTCAGGGTGGATCACAAAGTCACCACACAGTCCGAGCACAAGAGCAAGGCCAAAGGCCAGTTCACATGCAAGAGTACAGACATATATATAAAGCTAGACAAGCAAGAGCCGGTATATATATGTCACAGTACAAGTAAAGTCAAGAGGAGAGCAAGTGAGGCAAGACAAGCACAAGACCCAGCTGGCTGCAGAAGCGCTGATGGTCACAAGGCGCAAGTGCCTTGGTGAACACATCAGCAGTGTTGGCCTCAGAGGCCACGTACGCAAGCCGCAACTGTCCACGCTGCTGTAGCTCACGAGCAAGGAAGTAGCGAAGAGCAATGTGCTTCGTTCTGTGCTCCAGACGCTGCTCTCGACACAAGGCCAGCATGGCCTTGTTGTCTACGTACAGCACTGGAGGAGAACGAGGCGGCTCTCCAAGGTCAGTCAGCAGGTAGATGAGCCAGCGAAGCTCCTGTGCAGCCATGGCCCCTTCGTAGATCTCAGCCTCACAACTGGAGCTGAGAACCGAAGACGAACGAGTAGCCCGCCACGAGACAAAGCCGGAACCAAGGCTGAAGGTGTAACCCTGTGACGACCGCTGCGTAGCCTGGTCGTCTGCCCAAGAAGCGTCCGCGTGACCTGTAAGGACCACTGGACTCCGCCCTCCAAGCACTAGCCCCATGCCCGACGTGCTGCACAGGTAGCGCAATACCCTCTTCGTTGCAGCCATGTGCTCTGGTCGGTGTCTCCCAGGAGCAACATAGCGTGCAAGAATGCTCAGAGGGTATGCAAGGTCAGGTCGTGTGCAGGTCATCAGGTACATGAGGCAGCCAACAAGCTCTGGGTACGGGCCACTCGACTCTACGGACTCATCCGAAGGCAGAGCTGAGAGCGAGTGGCGGGTAGACAGAGGAGTGGCCTGAGGCGAGGAGTACGTGAAGCCGAAGCGCTGAAGGACCTGCTGCACCATGTGTGACTGAGTCAAGGTAATGGTGCGGCGTGCTCTGTCCCGAGTGATCTGCAAGCCAAGGTAGCTGCGAAGTTCACCCAGGTCTGTGCACGTGTGTCTCTTCAGCAGCTCGGACTTCACGTAGGCGAGTCCAGCAGTGTCCGCTGTGGCAAAGACCAAGTCGTCGACGTACACGAGGATGTAGAACGGCGGCAGTGAAGTGTCGGTGCGCAGAAACAGCGACGGGTCAGCAGTAGAAGGAGCAAACCCAAGAGCCGCAAGCGTAGTCCTCAGTGTGTCGTGCCACTCACGCGGTGCCTGGCGGAGACCGTAGACTGGCTGTCGGAGGCTCCACTGGGTGCCAGGAGGGAAAGTCCCAGTGAAGCCAGGTGGACGGCGCAGCCAGATCTCCTCGTGCAGGCTACCCTGCAGGAACGCAGTGCTGAAGTCGAGAGAGTGAAGCTCGTAGTCACGCTGAGCGGCTATGTGTAGCAGCACCCAAAGAGTAGTCATCTTTGGGGTGGGAGAGAAGGTCTGAAAGTAGTCAACTCCCTGCCGGTGACTGAAGCCACGAGCGACGTACCGCGCCTTGAAGACAGGTGGAGAGCCTGGCGGCCGCTTCACCCTGAAGATCCACATGCCACTGACGATGTTCGCCCCAGGAGGGGGAACCGCGTCAACGTAGGTGCCTGTGGACTTCCAGGAAGCCATCTCTGCATCCATAGGTGCCTGCCACTGAGAGGAGTAGGGACCCTCTACGGCCTCCGCGTAGGAGCGCGGAGTCGGGATGTCTAGTGCATCCAGGTCTCCCTCAGGAGCAAGCAGTACAGACGCGAGATGAGGTGAAGCAGCAGCCAGACACTGTAACTCCTCTTGCCTGTCCTCTAGGACG